TGGACTCCCACCAGCGAGGGGCGGGGGTGTCCCACGAACACACACGCCTGGGGACAGAGGCAGAGGTGCGGCAAAGTCACCATGAGACAAACACATTCCATCTGAACGGGTGTTGGGGGGGAGGGAAGGGGGGGGAGCGTGCCCAGCTGGGGAGGATGAGAAGGGGTTTGGGAAGGAAAGTGTGTGGGGTTGGAGAAAGCGCTTTCAGGTGGACGGAACATGCTAGAAGGAATTGGACAGGAGCCGGGGCACTCTTCGGGGATCATTAGGAGCCACACTGAAGGCGGTGGCAGGGCCAGATGCCGGAGGGACCGGAGTGCCATCCCACAGGCAGCGGAGCCCTGCCAGTCCCTCGCGGCTTTGGGTACGGCCGCCTATGCGGGCCCGGTGTTCCCCTTCCGACCGCGGAGAGAACCTCACTGTCTGTCCCACCTTCCCTGGGAGGAGTGATGAGAAATGCGGCCGATAGGAAGCACTGGTTGGGACCCAAGAAAGTGGTTGAATTGGGTGAGAAATTAGAGAACAGCCCAACTTCTCCTTGTGCAGCCCTTGCCTCGGGGCAGTTTGGTTTCCAAACGGCTCAGATTCCTCAAGGCTCCGTACTTTTGCTACAAGGCTGGGTCACCCTCTCTGAAACCGACCCTCCTTGTAGAGTTAGCAAGTCCTGCCCCATGCGTGATGCGGCTCCAGGCCTGACCGCTGGCCCCCGGGAGTGGGGGAGGCTGGCCCCTGGCTCCGAGGGGGGAGGGGAGGCTGGCCCTTAGTTCCAAGGGGCGGGGCTGCCTGAACTCACGCTCCTCTTCCGGAGGCTGGCCTGGCTCCGAGGGGGGAGGGGAGGCTGGCCCTTAGTTCCAAGGGGCGGGGCTGCCTGAACTCACGCTCCTCTTCCTCCCCCGCCAGCTGCTGTTCCTGACCGGCCTGACCCTCATCATCGGCCTGTGGAAGACGTTCGCCTTCTTCTTCCAGAGGCACAAGCTCAAGGGGACCAGCTTCTTCCTGGGGGGTGTGGCCGTTGTGCTCCTGCGCTGGCCCCTCCTGGGCATGTTTCTAGAAACATACGGATTCTTTAGCCTCTTCCGGTGAGTGCAGACCCGTTCCCCCCCATGGGCCCCCAGCCTCTGAGTGGCTGAGAGCAGCCCACCAGGTGCGGGTGGTGCAGCCAGGGGTGTGCAGAAGCTGGGCCTGCCCTGCAAGAGATGGGAGCCATGGAAGGACTGGAAACGGGGAGGAGGCCCGGGCCAGTTTGGCTCAGTGGATAGAGCGTCAGCCTGCGGACTGAAGGGTCCCAGGGCCGATTCCGGTCAAGGGCACATGCTGGGGCTGCAGGCTTGATCCCCAGGAGCGGGTGTGCAGGAGGCAGCCAATCAATGATTCTCTCTCATCATTGATGTTTCCATCTCTCTCTCCCTTCCCCTCTGAAATCAATAAAAATATATTTTAAAAAATTAAAATAAAATAAAAATGGGAGGGGCATGGGACAGACACTTGGAAAGGCCCCTCCAACAGTAGGTTGAAGGATACATTGACGTGACCGGCACACACTGAGCACCCGCTGTGGGCCCAGCACTGTGCCTGTCACCAGGGAGGACCCGCGGGGCTCACTCTTGAGTTGAATGACTGCGGGGAGAGGAAGAGCAGTGAGCTGACGTTTGCTAGGCCCCAGACATGCGCCATCATAACCTCACTTTGTCACCTCCACTGCCCGTCCTGGGCTGTTCCCTGCAGATGAGGGAGCCAGCACTCAGAGAGGCTGCCCCTGCCCGGCCGCACAGGCAGTGTGCCGAGGATCTGACCTTGATCCCCGCAACCCCATCCCACCCTGCCCCTGACCCCTGGCTCCACACCCCTCGGCCTGTCGGTGCCGGCTGGGCCTGGTGAAAGGCTGAGCAGGACTTGGTGGAGATGTGGAGCCACTGTCAGGGCCAGAGTGTGTCCCACCGGAAGCAGGACCTGGGATGGGCCTTGAGGTACGGGCAGGGGCTGAGAGAAGACTGGAGGGCCGAAACCGGTTTGGCTCAGTGGATAGAGCGTCGGCCTGCGGACTGAAAGGTCCCAGGTTCGATTCCGGTCAAGGGCATGTACCTCGGTTGCGGGCACATCCCCAGTGGGGAGTGTGCAGGAGGCAGCTGATTGATGTTTCTCTCTCATCGATGTTTCTGACTCTCTATCTCTCTCTCCTTTCCTCTCTGTAAAAACTCAATAAAATAAAAATAAAGACTGGAGGGCACCCGGGGAGGAAAGGATCCTGGGGAAGGTGGGCTGGCAGGACAGACACCCCGTGTCCCTGTGACGCTGTGGAGAGAGCAGGGGTGGGATGGGGTGACGGGGGCTGGAAGAATCATGGTCCATGGAATCATGGGAAGGGGCGGGGTCAGGAGCCCCAGCATTCCCACAGGAACCTTCATTTGCTCAGGGGCCTTGAAAGCACCCTGATCAGCCTGGATGCCCTGACCTCACAAAGGTCATGTAGCGTGGCCTCGAGAAATAAATTTCCTCCCACATGTTCTGCTGTCCATGTAGCTGATATTCAGTCATTTGCTCAGAGTCAAATATAGAAGAGGCACCTGCTCTGTGCCCAGTGAGTGGCCGGGTCTGGGGACACGCGTTAGACAGGGAGGCGCCTCCTGAGGACTCGCTGGGCGTAGGGGAGACAAATGCATCCTGACAACCGGCACTCAGCCCGCTTACCGAGAGCTGGGGACTGTGAGCAGGGCCACTGCAGACTCAGTCGTTCAAACCCAAAGTCACCTGGACAAACACACCTCCCAGCAGCATTGCGGGGACTTGGAGCGGTGAGAGACCTCGGGGGCCGGGGGACCGCAGGAATTTCTGCCCAAGCAAAGGACAAATTCGGGCAGAATTCAAATGTGTGATCGTGTGCCCTCTCCGCTCCACTCAGGGCTCCCTTCCCAGGTCAGCCTCGGTGCCTCCAAGCCCCCTGTGTCCCCAGCCAGGCCCCGTAGGGTGAGAGTGGGAGGAGGCTGAGGCGGGAGGGAGAGCAGACACGGGCACAGCCCCCACCACCGGTCCTGCCTGGAGCCCAGGGGACCTGCAGCAGGTGGTGACACCCAGTCTGGGGAGAGGACAGCGACAATAATACAAACAAGCATTTCTTCATGTAAGGCCCTCGGACATAGGTACTATTATCAACCCCGTTTTACAGCTGGAAACAGACCCAGAGAAAGTGAGGAATCTGCCCTGAGCTCGCACAGTGCTAGCGAGTGGCAGAGCCAAGATTGGCTCCCAAGGAATCTGACCCCAGGGACTTCATTCATTTTTTTATTTTTAATATATTTTTATTGATTTCAGAGAGGAAGGGAGAAGGAGAGAGAGATAGAAACATCCACAATGAGACAGAACCATTGAATGACTGCCTCTTGCATATCCCACACTGGGATTAAGCCCCCAACCCAGGCATGTGCCCTGACAGGGAATCGAACCATGACCTCCTGGTTCATAGGTCAGCATGCAACCACTGAGCCACACCGGCTGTGCTGGGACTTCATTCTTAACTATTCCACTTGGCTGCCTCTGAAACACTGGGGGGCTGGAGGCAGGGACCAAGCCTGCCCCCAGTGCTTGGGGCCCACCCTCTTGGGAGCCAAAGTTGGAGCCTGTCTGTGGACCTCAGTCTTGCTACCCTCTACCACCTCCCCCTCCCCAGGCCATCGCTGACCCCTCCCTCCCCCCTCTGTTCCTAGGGGCTTTTTCCCTGTGGCCTTTGGCTTCCTGGGCAATGCCTTTAACATCCCCTTCCTGAGTGAGGTAAGTGCCTTGTGCATGTGGCTTAGTGGTGGGGCCCGGGGGTGGCAGGAGCACACACAGTGGGGAAAACTGCTGCCCCAGGTACAGCGGACCCGCCCCATCTCCCCCTGCACTCCCTTCCCCAGGCTGGCCTGCCTCTGCTCCTCTTCCCCGCCCTGCTCCTTCTCCATTTGACAAAGGCCCTTGAGCAGCTGTGCCTAAAGCAGTGGTCGGCAAACTGTGGCTCTTGAGCCACATGCGGCTCTTTGGCCCCTTGAGTGTGACCACGAAGTTTCAATCGCACTGTACGTGCACGCCCGCACGTAGTATTTTGTGGAAGAGCCACACTCAAGGGGCCGCAGTTTGCCGACCACTGGCCTAAGGAATAGGGATAGAGGAAGGAATGGGGATAGAGGAGGGATGGGGATGGAGGAGGGATGGGGATGAGGATGGGGATGGGGATGGAGGATGGTGGCTGTCAATAGCTCTTGATTATAGCCAAAGAAACAGACACTGAGAGAGTCTAGGGGACCCAGCCACAAAGTGCCAGAGCTTTCTGGGGAGCTGGCTGAGTCTGGGCCCTGGACTTGGAAAGGATGTGTGACAGCTAACGACAGCAGAGAAAGCTGTGGCAGATTCTGTCCTCTCCTTGGGCAGGCGTGGGCAGTGGTCCCCAGTGCACCCCCCGCACCCCCGCTCTTTCTCGGAAGCATCTGACAGAATATGGGCTCTCTGAGAAGCCCAGCGAGGCCCTTCAGCCAGCTCCCAGCACGCCCGCCAGCTGGGCACATCCCTGCACCCCCCTCTCCCTGTCTGCGCTTGGCACGGCTCCCACCTCAAGGCCAGCTCCCTAATAACCCTGATATTGAGTCTGCTCTCCACCCTTTGTCTGGAGTAATGATTCTCGGTTCCCACAGCTGTACCGGAGGTTTCAAGGCACCAGCTCAATGGTCTGAGCAGCAGAGATGAGCTCCTTGAACTTGGATCGTTGGTTGAGGGGGCTGGAAAGGAAATGGGGCCACCCTCTCAGGCCTCCCTCCTGCACTGACTCACCTACCCCGCACACCCGGGCCTCTCCAAGTCCAGAAGGAAGGATGGCCCCATGTGACTGACCTCGGATTCCCAAGCCAACGCCAGAGGCCGTGGGCATTGTTGGGAGCAGAGCTCTGGGGCCCCACAGAGTTGGGCTGGGGCTGGGACCACACCCCGCTCTGTAGGGGAGAAAAAGCAAAGATTAAATCCCACGCTGTGTGTGTCTGACACTCGACGTCAGTGTCTCGGGCCTGTGAAGTCATCTCCTGACTCGGGGCATCTCAATCTACACAGCAAAGGGCAGGCCTGCTCTCAGCGGCTCATTTGCATCCTGAGGAGGGACGATGTATGTACAAGCCCCTTTCGCAGAAGGCATTAGACAAGTGACGGGTAGACATCCTGGCCTGGCAGGAAGTGCTTCTCGGCCGGCCGTAGGTGGATGTCTGCTCGGGACACCCCCCGGGCGGAGCCTGTGCCGGGAGAGCTTCCTGTCTGCGGGTAGAGATAGCCTCCGCCTTCAGACAGCCCTAGTCTGACAGAAGGAAGAGGCTCTGTCCCAGGAGCCCCCGGTCCAAGGGTAAAGACCATGACTGCAGGCCCAAGGACGAGACCAGAGTTCCCTGCAATGTACATATAGGGTGTCCCCCACAATGTGTACACACTTGAGCAGCTGGTAGCCGTCAATGCAAATGAACTGTATTTTCACAAACACTGCCTTCGTGGTTACTCACAGTGTGTGTACCCATTTGTGGGGACACCTGCACTTGCTAAATGTCTCTGAGGGCCCTCTGTGTCTGTACTGAGCATTAAAGTGGGTGCTGAGGGGGCCAAGGGAGGGGGGTCTGTCCCTGCTTCCACGGGGGGAGCACAGCAGTTACAAATGCCACCATCATGGGTGCCAAGCCCCCGAAGGCGGGTCCTGAGAGCAGCGCCTTCTGATTCGCTGTTTCCTGATAGTCACTTCTCACCTTCCCATAGCACTTCCCAGGCCCGGCCATCTTAGGGCGACCATGTGTTCTGCACCCTTAGCTGCCTACAGGTGTTACCCATCTGACAGAGTTAAATCCATCCCAGAACCCTGAACTGAGCGAGTGCTCAGTCACTGTTTGGGGAAAGAAGGAAAGGAGGGAGGGGGAAATGAAGGACCCCCCTGTGCCCCGTTGCAGATTACAGCCCAGGAGGGAACCCCAAGGCCAGCTGGCAGATCTGGGAGCATTCGGGGAACTGGAACCCCTGGTGCCACTGTGCCTGTCTCCCGCCCTCCTGCCTTCCATGCTGCCCACTCCACGCTGGGCGTGCCACCCTGGGCGTGCGCATGGCTCTTGTCTGGAGGGGGAACTCTTCATGCTGGCCCCTCACCACACGCCTCCTCACACAGGCCACTTCCACCGTGATCAGCGCACAGGGTCTCCTGGTGAGCGGGACTGGGAGGAGCAGGAGGAGGATGGGAGAGGGATGGAAGGCCGGCCTTGGAGGCTCTGGAGGGGGCGGGGGAGGCTGATTCTGGTCGTGACTGCCAGGGGGCGGGAGGCAGCAGTCTGATCTCTAGGCGGGTCTGCGGAGGAGGGAGAGGGAGGCCAAGGGGCCAGTGCCTGGAAGACGTCATCTGGGCTTGATAAAAGGGGTGGGGATGTGGTCAGGGCGCCGGCAAGAGCGAGCCCAGCTCCCCACCCCGCTGGTGTTCACCCACCAGACACCCTGCGGAGCTCCCACCCACCCGGACCCAGGACACGGAGCCAGGTAGGTGCGCTGGGCATCCACGCTGGGGGAGGGGTCTGCCCGGGCTCAGGGAGGCTCCCCAGACGGGAGCAGGAACTCAGTTCCAAGACTGACTGACTGATGTGTCCTGGTCAGCAGACGTGGGGCTGAGGGGCCAGATTATGGGTGGATGCCTTAATTGGCACTTTATTTGTGAGGCCCGGACCCTCTCAAGGACTCCTCTTTGGGCAGGAATAGTCGCAATTTGTTGTAATTACCGCGTGAACTATGTGGCTGGGATTGGGGGCCACAGAGCATTTAGGGGGAAGCTGGGGAGCCCCTCAGGGTGCATGGGCTCAACAGGACTCCTCTGAGCTCCTTCTCCAACTTATGGATGGCAAATACAAACCCAGCCAAAGAGCCCCTCGCACTGCTAGGATGGTCCCCCCAGGAAGGGAGCCCCCCCACTTCAGAAGCCTCCCAGCCAGGCCTGGGATTTCTGCTACTCGCTAGGCTCAAAAGCGGGTGGGGAAGCCACAAAACGTACCCCCAGGGGCCAACCGCCGTGGGACCTTGGAAGCTGACGTTTTTTTTCCAAGCAATTCATTTCACGTGTGTGAAGAGTTGGGCGAAAGTGTGTGTGTGTGTGTGTGTGTGTGTGT